GGCAAAGTGTTTGCTCAAGCAAAGCTAATAAATGGTGTATATGAGCTTGATCTTTCAGAGAACCAGTCTGCAAAAGTGGCACATTCCAGCCAGAAGGATGAAGCAGATCTGGACTTATGGCACCGAAGGCTAGGACACAGAGACGCCAGCCTCATTCTGGATCTACAGAAAAGAAATCTTGTAAGAGGTTTGCAGGTAAAGCAGAGCAACAAAGCTCCAGCAAAGTGCATAAGCTGTATTACTGAGAAGGCTGTAAAACCTTCATTTCCACGTTGTGCAGAACAAAGAAGCAACAAAGTGCTTGACATAGTGCACACTGACATATGTGGACCCATGAATGTTCCCTCACTGGGAAAGAATAGATATATTTTAATATTTCTGGATGACTTTTCAAGATTTTGTGTTGTATATTTCCTCAAAGAGAAGAGTGAGACAGTGGACAAGCTCCAGGAATACATTGCCATGGTCAAGAACAAATTCCAGAGAGCTCCAGCTGTGTTAATGAGTGACAATGGAGGTGAGTACTGCTCAAATGAAGTGCAGACTCTCCTGGCCAGAGAAGGAATTGCACACGTAACCACAATTCCTTACACACCACAGCAGAATGCCATAGCTGAGAGAAAGTTTAGGTCCATTATGGACATGACAAGGTGCATGCTAAAGGATGCACGTTTGCCACACAAGCTGTGGGCGGAAGGAGTGTACACATCGGTCTATTTGCAGAATAGACTGCCAACTAAAGGTGCAGAGCGCACACCATTTGAACTTTGGCATGGGAAAGCTCCCAATCTGTCGCACATACGTGTGTTTGGAAGTCCGTGTTACTTCCACGTGCCCAAGGAACACAGACACAAGCTTGACTCCAGGGCAAAAGCAGGTATCCTTGTGGGATATGCTTCTGGAGGCAAAGGATACAGAATTATGGACTTACAAACTGGTAAGACAAATGCATACCATGCGGTTTATTTTGATGAATATGGAAAAGTAGACACTAAGAACACTGTTGTGGATTCTTCAGATGAGTCAGAAAGGACTCAAGAGTTTGTATATTTCCCTTTTGAGACCCCACAAAGTAATTATCTGCCTTCGAGTGTTACAGCGCCCCCTACAGGCGATGCACCAGAAGACGCAGAGGACCAGAACCCTGGCGGCACCAGAGACGAAGATGAGGACTCAGATGGGGACATGCCTGCGTTGGAGGAGGATGAGGAAGCTGATGCGGTCGCAGAACCAGAGGTCAGACGCTCATCCAGAACCAACAGAGGTGTCCCACCAGTACGGTTGTCCTACCTTGCAGGGTCGGCGTTTCCACAGGAACCTTCCACTTGGGAAGAGATACAGGAGATGCCAGCTGCAGAAGCCAGTCTCTGGAGGAAGGCCGCGCAGGAGGAGATGGATGCACTGCATCAGAACAAGACCTGGACACTCACTGAGCTGCCTCCCGGTAAGAAGGCCATTGGCAGTAAATGGGTTTTCAAGGTTAAGAAGGGGTCAGAAGGAGAAGTGCAGCGCTACAAAGCTAGACTTGTGGCACAGGGATTTTCACAGCGTTTTGGTGAAGACTACGATGAAGTTTTTGCACCAACTGTGAGGTACAGCAGCGTAAGAATGCTTTTAAGCATTGCAGCCTCCAAGAAAATGAGGGTGAAACACATTGACATTGCTACCGCTTTTCTACATGGGCAGATTTCAGAGGAAATTTACATGAAGCAGCCCAAGGGTTTTGTAAAACCACATGAGGCACATCTAGTGTGCAAGCTGCAGAAAGGACTTTATGGACTTAAACAGGCTGCTAGAGCCTGGAACCAGAAGTTGCATAAAATGCTGACGCAACTTGGGTACAAGCAAGGCGATGCTGACAAGTGCTTGTACAGTAAGTCAAATAATGGACAATTCTCATATATCCTAGCATTTGTTGATGACCTGATTATTGCCACAGCAAGTGAGAAAGACTATACACAGATAGTAAAACACCTTAGCAAGGAGGTGGAGGTCAAGGAGCTAGGAGATGTCCAGTATTACCTCGGGATTCAGGTGGAAAGAGAAGAGGACGGATCATTTCTTCTCAGCCAAAGACAGAAGATCCACGAGCTAGTTGAGCACATGCAGATGCAAGACGCACATCCAGTTGCTACACCGATGGCTACTGACTTCCTGAAGAATCAGCAGGATTCGAAGCAGTTGCCAGACAACAATGACTACAGGTCGGCGATTGGTAAACTTTTGTATTTAGTTACCACATGTAGACCTGACTTAGCTAATGCTGTGGGGATTCTTAGCAGAAAAGTGAATTCTCCCACTGAGCATGATTGGGCAGGTGTAAAGAGGGTGGTGCGATATTTGAAGGGTACCATGAATTGTAAATTAAGGTTACCAGCTGTCAAAGACCCTAAGTTGGTTGGGTATACAGATGCTGATTGGGCTGGGGATAATGCTGACTATAAATCAACGAGTGGTCATGTTTTTATGTTTGGTGATGGACCTGTCGCGTGGGGCAGTTATAAACAGAGCTGTGTAGCATTATCTTCCACAGAATCAGAATACGTTGCAGCAACAGAAGCCTGCAGAGAGATCGCCTGGCTTGATCAACTCATAAAGGACTTTGGGTTGGTGAGAAAAGGGCCTGTCAGCTTGCTAGAGGACAATCAGAGTTGCCTGAAGCTGACGCAGAGTGAGAAGTTCCTGGCCAGAACAAAACACATTGGGGTTAAATACCACTACATACGCCAGATGATCCAGGATGGACTTGTGGAGCTATCCTACTGCAGCACCCAAGAGATGACTGCTGACATCCTGACGAAACCCCTACCAAGAGAGAGTTTCCAGAATCTACGTGTCAAGCTGGGACTCTGGGTGGTTGAATAAAGTTGTTTATATTTTGTATATGTTGTATTGCCTGAGAAGGGGTATGTGGGATGTAAACACAGGAGCAGTCAATGACAACATTCCTAGAGTGTACATGTTAGAACATGGGGGGATGTCTGTCCAGCAAGCAGGTAAACTTCCTGGGGACGGACTTCCTCCACATGTGACCAGAGGTGGGTGTGGCCTCACCTGTGCAGGTGATGACAAAAAGCACAGGGCAGGCAGCCATCTCTCTCTCTCTGCCATTTTCCTTCGACGAGGAAACACCTAAGGATGCCCTCTTGGCTCCCAGCCAAGAGAGGAGATAAGGCCTATCTTGCTATGAGATAGATTCTAAATCTATGTAACCTTTTTAAGCCTGTCTGCCGTCTGGGATCACATTGTGAACAGGACGTGAGTAAACTCTTTTATACTTTTATGAAGACTGTGTCGTGTCTTGTATTTTAAGAGGGAACTAAAGGGGAAATTACCAGGGTAATTATTATAGAGGTTCTAGCGAACCTGTGCACACGTTACCGTTGCGTACTAAAGGGGAATGTATGTAAACTCTGCTGATATTTTGGGAACTTGTTAGCACAAGTTGGATCAGGATATAATTAGTCAATATATCCTTTCCTGCACCCCAGAACATTCCCACAAATTTTCCCATAGAAAAAAGTCACTTGTGGTTCTAGAGATAAAAGGTCAGGTCTTCCCCTCCCCCAGGTTAATTCCCCCCCCTCCACAGTTTTGTGCTCTACTGCCTTCAATGAAGCTTTATGGGAGGGTTGCCTGTGAACTAGAGGTACCACTGTATATGCCTGAGGGAAGATAGCCGCGCCATCGTCTTCCCTTATTACTTTCCCTCAGCATCAGCGCTATAACCAACGTCTTGCTGGGGCAACGGGGGGGGAGGGGTGTCCTTCCCGCTCCTCTTTCTCGTCCCAACGGCAGCCCATCCCCCACTCCCTCTCGCTTCGCCTCACAGAATCAAGGTTGACGCCACGCGCCGTTTCCCGCCCAAACCGCCGCGCGCATGCGCCCCGCCTGTCCTGCCTTGGCGCCCTTTGGCCAAGGCTTCCCGTGCGGCGTCCCCTTGGCCGCCCTCTTCCTCCTTCTCTCTGGTCCTCCCGCTTCTCCACACACCCCCCACGTCCCCTCGGTCTCCTCTTCGCTCCCTCTTCACACAATGACCCCCCCACCCCACCCCACAGGGGGGACCAACCCGTGAGGCGAGATAAGCGCATTAGCATGTCTGGCCTCTGAGGAAGGCTGCCCCCTCTCGCCTCCCATTCTGCTCCTGTCATTCCTCCATCCTTCTGCTCCCCTCTGGCCCCTCCAGGCTCAGCGCGGGGGGGGGGGGACCGGCTGGGCTGCCCTAAATCCGCCTCTGCTTGGGAGCTGGATCTTCCTCACTTCCACTTCTACCCCACTCCAAATCTGCCTCGGGGCAAAGAGGAGGCGCCACTGGTCTCTTCCCGCCTTTCTTCGCCATTTGACCTTGATCCCCCAACAATCTCCATTCTTCCCTGGGGGGGGGCAGTTTTGGGACTCGGCTCAGGGGACCAAATGTCTTGGGCCGGCCCTGCTGACCCCCCTCCAGGAGTAAGTCTGGCCAAGGTGGCTGGGACGTCAGCTCAGGCAAATGCAACCCAGGGAGGATTTCCCCCTGAAGACTGTGCCCCCTTTTCATCTTTGCCTCCTTTTCTGAACCTGCCCCTGGAAATTCGGCTGGTTTTTCTCTCCCTCCTCCATAAGGAAAGCCCTGAGCACTAGCATTCCCTGGGCGGTTGCCAGATGCTGACGGGGAAGCACTCTGCACATGCCTGGGAGTAAACCATCTACCAGCTCCTGTTAGATTCCCTTAGGTGAGAGAAAGGGTTTCTAGAGTGATAGCCCAGTAGGTGCCTCCAGAACTCATTGGAGGAAGAGCAAATGGTGACCACCACAGCACTGTCGAAAACGAGGACACATATATCATTCAATGGGTCTGTGCAAATTTAGGTAATATTAATCTGTATGTTTTGAAGTATGGTTGATTCACAACCCCCTCAATTTTATTTTTTTACTGTATCTGTTTGTAAAACAAAAAACTGCAAAGTGGTTTACTATCAAGTGGGGTATACATTTAATGAAATAAATAAACAAATGGCCAAAGGCAAGTTAAAAACAATTACTGTAACTTAAATAGAAATATAATACTTCTCACCGTATTTAGGTGACCTGAATGCCTGCTTAGTCTGCTGTCCAAATGCTGACTGTTGGTGGGCATTTGTTTGAAAACTGCAGCTAGACCATAAAGCCCTTCCAAGAATGGTGTGTCTGCTCTGTCTCTGTTCCAGCACTCTTTTGTTTAATCAAATTTCCACTACACTTTTCTTCAACAAGGCTACACTTTCTGAAAAACAACCTACTCACAATGAGCTTCAGAAACCACAAAGTTACTGTCTAACAACCTGCAGATTAACACACTCACACACATTAATTAATTACAAACTGTTCCAAAGAGCACCCACATTGAAGTATGATTTCTGGTAAAATAACTTATAGTGAAAAGAATCTTTAGGCAATCTTAATGCATGGAAGCGTTATGGCTATTTAAAGAGCTTAGATGCTTATTTGAAGCTTGCTCTTTTAAAATATACATTGAGCTTTTGAAGGAAATGTCAAGACACAACTCCAGTTTTTTCTGATATCTGCAGGCTTAACACATTGCCCGCAGTCAAACTGGACTTATTTGAGTAATATAATAATTTTAATATTTGAAACGGAAATGAGATGAAGTGGGTGTCGATCAGGGAGAGAAAGCTTTATTGCCAGTAGCACCCCAGCTATGGAACAGCCTCCTCCGTGAGTCTTTCCTGGTGCCTTCTTTATCTTCTCTTAATCATCTAGTGAAGACCTTTTGGTTCACCCACATGGTTTAATTCTTTATTGAAGCTTGGGTGTTTTATGCTCTCTGTGATGCCATCCATATAAGTTGCAAAAGAAGTTTTTGTTTCTCTTTTAATTTTGGCGAAGACAAACTGCAAGGGGGAAAAGTTCAATGATTTTAGGATTGTATCTTTCAAAAGTGCAGATTAGTGGGAGAGAAATTTTTCCCTATCCACTTTCTCCATGCAATGCAAAATTTTATAAATTTCTGTCATGCCACCTCTTATTCAACTTTTCTCTAAACCAAAAAAATCCCTAATGCTCCAACCTTTCCTCATTTTTCCATCCACTTTTTCACTCTGCCGGCCCTTTTCTGAATTATCTGAACTGGAGATCTGTGATAAGGCTTCACATGCTTGTATGCATAGGGTGGGATCGGGGGCGCAACTAATCCCTTCCCCACTCCCCACTCCAGTCCTAATTGCTTTCTAAATTGCTGTTTCCTTCGCACGGCAGTGGTGGGAAGAACGCTGGGTGTTTTGCAGTACATCACAAAAGATTGCTGCCCTCCGCTCCCGTGTTTATAAACACAATAACCGCAAAATAATCCCCCTCTACTACAAATAGTTCTGAATCTCTACTCCCCTCCCCTCGATTGCTATTTTAAAACGCAACAGCAGATGACTATTACAGTTCTCCCAGCATCAGTCCCAAGCAGTGACAGACCCACATTTTGGGGGCCCTGAAGTTGAGCTGTTCTGGGGGCCCCTTCACAACTAGCAATGAGTTCTGGGTAACCACTGTTGCCATCTTCAGTGGGGTTGTTCCCTGACACATCACCACATTTAAAAAATCAGATTTTGATTAGAATTTCTGTTCTGGGTTGTCACACGTCTCAAAGTCAGTGGTGTGAATAAAAATGTTTAAAAATGAGGAGTAATTCTGGTCTGCGGCCTCTCTGGGATTTGGCGCCCAGAAACTTAAGATTAAATGGTTTCATAGGAGATCTGCGCTTGCGTATCCAATGCACTGTTTTTAAAATAAGGTAAGCTTTTTCTAGCGTAAAATGAACGCAAATTTAATCGTCCATTAATAAAATATAGTTTGCTTACTCAGCTTAGATTTCTTTCTTCGGTTGCCACCGCTGTTATGTTTACCGTCTTATTCGCATTTGATGCGATTCCTGGCCATTGCCACTGCCTCCATCCAAGGCGATGTACAAATCTATTTAGACGAGAGGGGATGCTAATGAGGGGTATCGGAATTAAGTTGTTCCAAGCTTCTTTGTCGATATGAAATAATTTACACTTGCTTCTTTTTAGAAAAACAACATTTTTTTTTAAAAAAAATGAGAGTATCCGTTTAAGATAGGAAGTGTGTGGTACCTGGTAAAGGGGGGGGTGTTCTTTGGCTGGACCGCAAGTGTGATTTTTGTACGATGCAGGTGTGGGACACCCCACTTTATTCAGTTCTGGGGTAGTTACTTGCACTGGCTTGGCAAAGAAAATGTGTAGCAGGCGCAGGAAAGTCCTCTCTCTCTCTCCCCTCACTTCTGAGTTCTCTTGTCTTCTGTTTCCTGCATTGGATAATGCTCCAAGTCAAAACGTGCCAACAGCGAAATATTAAGCATATCAACCTGAGGGATCTTAGTGTCCATTTTTAAGGCAAAACCAATTTTGGAGAGAGCGAGAAAGCCCTTTCCGCCCCTTGCAGCGGAGAGGGTGTTGCGGGCAGGATCCTCCCACATCCGCGGGGGGCTTCCCTTGCCCCCGCGATACTTGGGGGGAATCCCCAGGCGTGACTGCACCCAGCCCGCCAATGGGCGGGGGAGGCGTGGCTCGGACTATTTAGGGCCAGGCACGCCCGGGGACCGCCCTCTTTTCCCCCTCGCCCAGCTGAAGAGTGGTTTTGCTGAGCGGTTCTCTGCTGTGCGTTTTCGTGGTTTTTTTCTTTTTTTTCTTTTTTTTCTTTCTTTGTTTTTTGCCGGCCCTGTTGGTTTTAGCGCATTTCGGGCTCTGTTTCTTGGTTTATTTCGCTTTGACCGGCGAGTGTCTCCGGGCGCCGGACGCGAGCGACTCAGGAGCCGGCGTGGACCTCTACAAATCCTTCCGGGATCACGAGGATTTCCTGAACGGACGTTGCAAGCGCATTCCTTTTTCTCATTCCTGCCTCCCCAGAAACAGAGTAGCGTGAGCTGCCTCGGCGCTCACCGAAGGTGACTGGGGGACTACGCGGGGCTTGCGCTGGGGGGGCTAGACGCCTTTTAATTCCACCAGTCCCGGTTCGCTAGGGCGCTAGGGGTCCTCTGAGCAGATCAGCTGTTTGGCGGGGGGAGGGCTCGCGTGCTGCCTTGCTTTACATCGACGAGGGTACGGAGCGTGAGAATAGACAGGTTTTTTTTTACCTTTCCCAATTTTCTGAATTTTCCCGTTTTAACTTTCATTGTGCCAGTTTTGTTCCGGGTGGGGGGAGGGCATACCTTTCCTCACCAGCCTTTACTGCGTGTCTAGCGAAGCCTGCAGGGCGTTCATCTGTGCCGGTTACTAGAGAAGCCATCCCCTCTTTATTTTCCGGTACCACGAGGGGAAGGCGGGGAGGCCATCTTGGTCGAGGGCAGTGTTTTGGCCTTTCTGCTCCCCCCGGCCGCCATTTTGGGAGCCACGTGGGAAGCACAGGGGGCGGCCATTTTGATTAAGGGAATAGGGGCCTGGCAGTCGGAGGTTTTATATATCAGCTTAATCAAGTGAATAAATCAAATATACTACCTTTTGTTAAGTAAGTCTCATTCATCCTCCGCGGCTCTAGAGTTTATTATATTCGGGCCACCGGGAGCAGCGGTCCTCTACTTTCCAACAGGAGGGCTCCGCCAGTGTGGCTTGACTGATAGGGAGGCCGCATACAATCTCCGACACGCTTCTGTTTTGCTGTTTTGCCTGTTGCGGGGGAACCCCGATCCCGACCTTTTGCCTTATTGCCGGGTAGAATTTAATTGGCATCGCATTGGTTTTGGTGAATTTTGGCTGTTATTGTGGGGCAACGATCTTGGATTTTAGTTTTTGAGTGAACCGCTTTACTGTCCTCAGCTGAGGGTTTGTTGGGCTAATTCTTAGCAACACTGCCACCTAGCGGCAGGAGTTATATTGCAGCCCTGTACTTAGGATCCCTTAATTTTTCTGCACTCTATCACTTCCAGCAGTCAGGTTATTTATTCAATAATTGATTTTCAGGCGTTGCAAGTGATTTATTAATATAATAAAGAAATTATATAAATAGTAGTATTTAAAAAAATTATTTTTTCATTTGGCGCAAATTTTCTGAACTAGTGGATAGTTAATTACATAGACAGAATTGTATTGTCAATAATATAAGCTTGTGGAAAATAGTAAATAACACAATTCAAGTCAGACTGCAGCAGTAAAAAAAAATCAAATAATAAATAAATAATTAAATATATAAATAATTAAAAATAAATAAATAAATAAATAAATAAATAGGTGAAGCCTTACTCAGTCAGAGTAGCCCATACTGTACTTTCTTCCAGTCTCTGGGTGCTGCCTTGTTTTCAGGAATGGCTTCGGGCGGCGACCAGCAGCCATCCACCTCTGGCACCCAGCCCGCATCCAATACTGCTGGAAGCGCACAGTTACCGGCCATGCCATGTGACCCTCAGGCTTTTGCCCAATTCTTTATGGCTTTCGAAACCTTTTACAAAAAATGCAAGTCTGGAAGTGCACCGGCACTCCCTGCTCCCGAGCCATCTCAGGATATGATTCCTGATACTCCCCCACATAACCAGGGGCAACAAGGGCCTGAGGCGAACTCTGTGGGTAACGCACATCCCGGGCCTTCGGTAACAACCCGCCCCAATACGCGTGCCCAGACGGTTATCTCTAAAAAGGTAAGCCTTGGCATAGGAAAGGGGAAGGCACCAGCAAAGTGTCCCAGTAAAGGGAAGGCGCCTTCCAAGGCTGCCAGAGGCAACACTCGCTCACAGGCCGCAGACATTCCTAGTGTTTTTCAGGAACAGCAGTCACAGCACAGCTCAACAGAGGACAGCGCGTGTTCCGGCTCGGAGGGGGAAGCAGCCGGATCCTCCAAGTGCTCAGCCGGTGGCCAGCGCTGGCTCGCCAACAGGTGAGGCACAAGGGGGTAAGAGGAAGGCTAAGAAGAAACATACGTCAGCCAAGAGGAAGCGGAGCAAGCAATCGGAGACGGAGGACGACTCAGGTACGTCTTCTTCAGAGTCAGATTCTGAGGATCAGATGGATGGGTACTGGGGTTTAGGTGAGAGCAATCATGGGATTCCCCTTTGGGCACACGAAAGGAGGGTCAACTCCCACAGAACAACTTTTAAGGGGGTGCTGGACTGGAAGGATGGGGCGTTGGTCGAGGACGTTAAAGTTTCCACCAACCAGCCAACAGATTTCATAGTGGGGAACCATTTGTCCCAAAAGAAGAGGAATAAGATCCTCAACGGGGACTACGTTGATATCTTTACCCTTCTCCCCCCGGCCAAGCTAACGGGAAAGGGCGAAAAGAGGCACGCCTATGGTAAAAAGAGGTACAGAACGCCTAGGGCAGAGCGCACCTTTGAAAATTGGCTAGATGGGTACCAAGTTTTTATGGGAGTTGTTTGCGCCGCTTATCCACGGAGGGCGATGGATTTAGTGGCCTACCTGTCGCACGTGAGAACAGCGTACTCTCTCGCCGGAGAAAACGCAGCCTTAACGTATGACGAGAATTTCCGCAGGAATGCATCTCTCCTGCCGGCCACCCGTTGGGACCTGACTGACCCTAATTACTGGGGCGTGGACGTCAATCCCTATATAGAAAAGAAAACTCAGGACACGGCCAAGAATGGTAAGATTGAAGCAAAAAGGCGCCGCCAGTGCTGGGAGTTCAATCGGGGTGTCTGTTCTCGCCCCTATTGTAAGTATTCCCACGAGTGCGAGTGGTGTTGGGGCAACCACCCCGCCACCGCGTGCTTTAAGAATAAGCAGCAGCCCTTTCGGGGGGGCAGGGGGTACTTCCACAACAACGCTAGAGGTGCCCCGGTCCCGCTCAGCAAGGTCCCAGTAGCCGCCAGTAATCACAAGCTTCCGTTGGCCTATACCCCTATCCGTCTACAGCCCCTGAAAACCCTACTGGATCTTTATCCTGACCGGAAAGCTGCGCAGTACCTTTGGGAGGGTTTCTCCAAAGGATTTAGAATCCCCGTGACAGTTCCCCCTACCCCCAGGGAGCCGGAAAATCAAAAGTCGGTTAGGGAAAGGCCGGATATAGCCAGGAAAAAGATAGAGAAAGAAATTAAAGCTCGTAGAGTGGCCGGCCCCTTCTCCGCGCCTCCATTCGAAGGGTTTCACTTGTCCCCACTGGGCATCGTCCCGAAAAAGACCCCGGGGGAATTTCGGTTGATCCATAACCTATCTTACCCGAAAGGGGGCTCTGTTAACGATGCTATTCCCCAGGAATTTTGCACGGTCAAATATGCCTCTTTTGACTAAGCAGTTAAGATGATTCGGCAATTCGGGAGGGGTGCGCTACTAGCGAAATGTGATATCGAGTCTGCGTTTCGACTTCTCCCGGTCCACCCAGCTGACTTCCGCTGGTTGGGCTTCAAATTTCAAGGGGAATATTTCGTCAACAAAGCAATGCCTATGGGCTGCTCTGTGGCCTGTGCGGCATTCGAGTCATTTAGTACCTTTCTTGAATGGGCCCTCCGCTTCAGATCAAGGTCCGTGGGCATGTCCCATTACCTCGATGACTTTATCCTGGTGTCGGACAGTGCACAGGGCTGCTCCGCCCTCCTGGACGCCTTCACAGCCTTGTCAGAGGAACTTGGGGTTCCCCTGGCAGCTGAAAAAACGGAGTGTCCAACAACTTCTTTGGTTTATTTAGGCATCGAATTGGATACAGTAGCGCAGACATCTCGGCTTCCCGTGGAGAAGCTGTCCGCTCTTAAGGCGCTGATTCAGCAGCTTCTGCCCCTAAAGAAAATCACACTGAGGCAAATCCAGTCTTTGCTGGGTCACCTAAACTTCGCTTGTAGAGTGGTGGCGCCAGGTCGCCCCTTCTGCAGCCGGTTAGCTAGATTGGCCGCAGGACTGAGGGCTCCCCAACATAGAGTCAGGCTATCTAAGGAAGCATTCTTTGGCACTACCCTTCTTTGGGACTGGGATGTAGACTGATCTTCTCCAATCTTCTGGCCACTGCTGAGTTTTCCAAATTTGCTGGCATATTGAGTGTAGCACCTTAACAGCATCATCTTTTAAAATTTTAAATAGTTCAGTGATGGGCATCTGGTTGGTGGGCCACAGTATAGTTTACTGGGCTAAGAACCGTGCTGTGAGTTCCCGAATGGGGCATAATTTGAGCCTGCCTTCAAACATTGAGTTGATTTGGATTCCGCGTAGAGGGATGCGCTGGAGTGAATTCAAACCGACAGTGTTTGCGAGGGCTGCTGCCGAGGGGCCTCCCGACGCCTTGATAATCCAACTAGGGGAAAATGACTTGGCATACCGCAAGGCTATCGATTTGAGATGGAACATTTTCGATGATTTGGGGCATTTGAAGGCGGTTTACCCAAATATTACCATCTTCTGGTCCTCGTTGCTCGAGAGGAGGATTTGGAGGGACTGTGTGAGCCCCGCGGGAATCAACAAGGCTAGAAAGGTCTTGGAGCGGGCTGTGGAGCGTAGAGTGGTGGACCTGGGTGGGTGTGTCATAGGTCACCCTGGCATCCAGTTCAGCAATGAGGCCCTCTACAGATGGGATGGCGTGCATCTGTCAGATGCAGGAAATGACATGTGGTTGGGGGACATCAGTGCAGGGATTAGGGGTTGGTTGCGGGTTTGAAGGTATTGGCGGCGAGCTTTGCTCGTGTGGCGGTTAGGCATTGGCATGGAGCAATGTTAGACAAATGGAGGGGGGAAGGAAGCGCCATCACCTTCCCCCAATGTGAAGGGGTAGTCCGGTAGAGGGCTCCGGGGGCGTGGCCTTGTCTGAAGCCTTGTGAGGTAGGGCCCCCGGCACGCCCCCGAGCGGTGACGCCCGTTGGGATCCTAGTTGGCGTACTTCAACAGGACTCCCGCGGTTGTGTTCAACCCTTCCCGGTCACCATGCCGGGTAGTCAATAGGAGCCAATGCCTAAGGCCAATACCTTCAATTTCCGTAATCAATAAAGTTGTGGCCTTTTATGCCCATTAACCTTATATCATTGTGTCCGTGTCTTTATTTCATTGGGGGAGGTAACTTGCCACGCAAAGAGTTTTTTCATGATTGCAACCAACAACGAAGGTAAAAGAGCAGAGTGAACCTGAGAGAGTTAGTGTCCATTTTTAAGACAAAACCAATTCAGGAGAGAGCGAGAAAGAGTGATGGCAACCATGATGGCAACCAACAACAAAGGTAAGAGAAACTTTTTTAAAAAAGATTATTAATTCACTGTCTTTAAAAAACAACAACAGCATTGCTCTAATTATTTATAGGGGAATAAGTAGGAAGGAAGATGATTTCTGTTTCATCTGGGTCAGGATCCTGGCGTAAGGAAGGCTTTCAAAGACCCATTTGTGGTAGCCGGGGAGATATTAAACATGTCTCACTATTTCCTGGGAAGAAGCCCAGGCAAGACTGCTTTGCACACCTTTATTCGTAAACACCAAGCATTTAGTGCGTGGAAAGTGCGATCCTATACAGGACACACTTTCCTGAACGTTAAATCCTTTTCAAATAAACGGCGATTTAATTTCCCAATAAACGTGGTTAGGATCGGCTGCGGAAAACGATGGCAGGTATAGAAATAAGAGCGTAAACTTCTTACTGAAAATTCTTTGGTTTGTTTTCATGCAAGCCTTGTTCAGAGCAACCGGAGGTTTATTTAAAGGCCACAAAGTGCGTGGATTTCAATGTCAGGTACAAAAGCCTTTCTGTAAAAAGCGAAGGCTTTGCCTTCTGCGCTCTGCCGGGTGGCTGGTCAGCGGGGCGGTTGAAAGAATTGCCACTGAAGCCGGGGGTCGTTTTACGCAGTGTAAGCTCAGGCAGCGCCGATTCTGGGGGCAAGTGCAGGCGATGCAGCCCTGAGCTTTCCATGTCGGGAGGAAGATCTGCAAGCGTCGCTTCAGTTGAAGCCGAGCGCTTCCTTCAGATTTGCCTCTTTGTCTTTTCCCAGGAGGAAGCTACCCCAAAGTCGGAGGAGATAGGAGAAAAAGGACCGTTTTCACTCCTGCCCAAATCGAGCTTTTAAAGAAGGAGTTTGAAGAGAACCAGTATCCCGGATACCAGACTAGGGAGGCGCTGGCGAGGTGCATCAGAGTCGAAGAAGATCGTGTGCACGGTAGAAGAGGGATAGTGGGGGTTCCTAGGACTTCCTTAAACCACAAATACTGGATAAATTTAAATCGCTCAAAATAATTATTTCGTTGTCATTCGTTAGATCTTCCTGATGCCTCCGAGCTTAACGTGAAAGGTGCCGTATTCAAGAGCCAACTTCCTCTTTCCTGGGTTTTTGTGGGGTTTTATTGGGGGGGGGCTGTTGTACCGTGGATGTAAAGGCTTTTTGTAAGGGGCGGGTGCGTTGTGTCCCCTCTTTTTCAACTGCAGGAAGAAATTGTGCCCATACTGGTTCCTGATTAAGGAAATCCTGGTTCCTGATTAAGGCTTCCTTTTCCTTCCCACTCAAATTATTGGAGGCACATACTTTCAAATATCAAAGGTTCTGGGTTTGAACAGTAAAAACTCTTAACAGACCTGGTTTCAACCTAATTTGAGGATAAAACCATCTGGTTTTCTAGGCTGCCTTTATAACCTGACCCACCTGACCGAACTCCCAAGGGAGTGTGCATAGGATATTCCTATTAGGATGGCAGCTTTCAGCACCTTGCATTGAGAGACCAAATGTGCAGCATTCAGCTGGAACCACAGTTAAGCAACATTGCTTTTCTAGCCAATGTCCCGCAAGTCCCTAGTTCTCCCACACTGAAAAAATTACACAACACGAGGCACAAATATTCGGTGGTCCTCTGAGCTAGAAAGTGAAATTATGACCTATCCATTTGGAAATAATGGGCATTTTGTTCTTTCCTTTCTTTTGTTCAGACCTGGTTTCAGAACAGAAGAGCGAGAACAAAGGTGACTGGTTCCAAAATAATGATCAGGACCCGAGCTACAGCTCCTTATAGCCGCTGTGACAGAAGAAGAAGTCCATTAAACACCCCGGGGAGCAGCCCAAAAAGCAGCCATGCAGCTTCCATTATCCCGAAAGCTTTTGTTCAGACCTGGTTTCAGAACTGAAGAGCGAGAACAAAGATGACTGGGTCCAAAACAATGATCAGGAACCGAGCTACAACTCCTTATAGCCGCTCTGACAGAAGAAGTCCAAGCACTCCGAGGAGCAGTGCAAGAAGTCCGACGCAGCAACATTACCAGCCACGCAGCTTCCATTATCCCGAAAGCTAAGAAGGAGCAGGGTTCTGGCAGGCACATCTCAGCACCACGCAACCAGGAGAGCCTGTCTATGCCACACAGCAGCAGAACTCCCAGGAATTGAACCCTGTTCATTACCAGCCAGCTGCTGTTGGTGGAACAGCGCTTTGTGAGACTTCCAAGGCAAGCAACTGCCCAGTTCCATATTATGGTGCAGAGATGATGAGGCAGCCTCCACTATCGAATGGTAACTTCTGTACTCCATCAAGCAGTAAAACTGGTCTGCAATGGGGAACACTTATGCAACGGGGAATTATCCAGCTGCAAATCCTGTGCAAATGTTGCCTGACCTGAAGATTACCAAAATTGGCAGCAAAGCAACATCTTCCCTTCTCCCAACGCTTTCTAGGGTTACTCATCCAAATAAATACATTTTGAAGTTTTTCAATAAAGTTTGTTATTTTAATGCCTTTGTCTGGGATCATCAACTGGCTTTCCTTTTACTGAAGCATTCGCTTCCCTTTGCCCAAGCAAGCTAAGACCACTTGTATACTGAAATCAAAAATAAAAGCTGAACAATTTGCCACTTGTTCAAATAAGGACCAAAGTCAAAATCTGGGGTTAGAACAATTGGGTAAATGTTTCAAAATATTCCAATTTTGCTCTTGTTTTTGTTGGGTTGATGTGGGTTAAATGTTTAGTTGGGGTTGGCGGTTACTTTCATTTGGGTATAAGTATAAACTGTTTATTATTATTATTATTATTATTATTATTATTTATTACTATTGGTTTCTTGGTTTGCTATTTATTTGTTTTGTTGTTAAATGTTTGTTGCATTGTGTTGTAAGCACAATGTATTTTGTACTTTTTGCAGAAAACAATAAAGCATATATGGATATAGATATATACGTGCGTTTTTGTGCATGTGATTCTATGGGGATGGATTTTTCTGAGCCCTGCCTGCCTGCCATGCTGCATAATGCACTTCCTTTTTGAAATGTTGCCTGAATACAGAAAGGGGTTGGTTCTGCCGGATCCCCTCTCTGCTTTTGCGTGCAACTTCCACGAAGGAAGAGCATAGGCGCCGACTCCATGGGGCCTGAGGGGGCCCGAGCCCCCTCAAAAATTTTATTGGGGGGGCTCCGCCCCCCAATAATTTAAGAAAGTTATTAGTTATATTCAGCGGCGCCCGGCAGAGCAGCCCTCTCGGCCACGGCAGGGACAGCACGGGGGCCGCTTGGGAGAAGCTTCCCACCCTGGGGGAGGAGCCTCCGCCGGCCCAGGTGAGCCGAGGGCGGGCAGGTGAGCCCGGCTGGCCCCGCCCCGGCCCCGCCCCCCGCCCGGCTTTCTCTTTCTCCGGCCGGCAGCCGCGCCGGGTCTGCCGCGCCCAGGGGGCCCCGTCGGGCCGAAGCGCCGCCGTAGCCATGCACACCCCGGCTCAGCCGGCAGCCGCCCCGGTGAGTGAAGGGGGAGCATCACCTAGTGGTTGAAGCGGGGTGGGGTGCGGTGGGGGGGGTGCCCCGGGATTCCTTGGTGCTGCTGGGGGGTGGCGGTTGCAGTAGCAGCTCGGTGCCGATTCCGAGAGCGTCTGGGCATGTGCAGAGTGCCTGATCTCTCCTAGTATGCAACTGCGCGCAAAACGCTCCCTGGCGCAGCTGGTGGGAAGGATTTTTTTTTGGGATGGTGGGGTCGCTTATCGCTACTGCCCCCAAAATCTCTCCACCGTCGGGACTCAGGCTTTGGGGTTCCTTTAAGGCCGTCAGGCTATTTTTTGCCCAGATTCTGCCCCATCTCGTTTGCCCCCTCCTAAGCCAAGATTGGATGGTCTTCGGGGCATAGACCTCCAACCCCAGGGCCCAGAATGGAGATGAGCCCCAGCAGCGCCCACTTTCTCTCCTAAGTCAGGATTCTTCCAGCTTGGGATGGGGAACCCAAGTCCCTGGACGGTCCAGATTTCGTCTCCAGAGTCTCACCTTTCCAAAGATTCCAGCTAAACTTTAGGAAGAAATTTCTGGCTGCTAAGAGCCATTCAACCAAAATATGGTGGTCTCTTCTTCACTGGAGCTTTTAAAGCAGAGGTTGGGTGGCCATCTGTTAGGGATTTTTTAAGCTGCGATTTCTATGTTGCGGGGGGGGGGCTGGAATAGATGAACCCTGGGGGGCCCTTCCCAGCTCTACAGTCCTGTGGTTCTTTTCCTTCCCGCTGCTCATGTTCTCACCTGTCCACACCACCTGTGGAAGCCCAGCTCTACCTTTCGTTATGCCCGGCTCTGATCTGAACCGTAAAAGCTCATGTGGCACACCCAGCCTGTTATTGAGCATCTGTTAGGAGAATCGCAGCAGAACTGTGTCAGAGGAGAGACAGGGCGTCGCTGCCTCAGTTTCATCCAACTTCCTGCTACTGCACCTTTCTGTTATCCCACCTGTGTTATGCGAGAGGGGATGGCACGACAGGTGCCCCACATGGAAGTTGTTGCATCTGGCCTGACTCCGGCGTACTGAGAAGGGAGCCCTGCCTCTCTCAAGAATGCCAGCTTGTCTCCCTTTATTTATTTATTTTTAATTAAAATGTTGCTAAGTTGGTTTCCTGGGCAAACATCTATTCAAAGCAGCCAGCAAGCAAAACAACATGAAAGGGATGGTAAGAAACAGTTTGATGCAACATCAGCAAAAACAAAAGCTAACGGTCTTCTAGTCTGCATCCTCAGAAATCTAGGGTCCAGATCAAGGGAAATCATAGTCCTGTTCTGTTCTGCCTTGGTCAGACCACATCTGGAGTCTTGGGTCCAGTCCTGAGCGCCACAATTTAAGGAGGATGTTGACAAGCTGGAATGTGTGCAGAGGAGGGCGACCAAGAAGATTTGGAAACCAAGCCTGATGAGGAACGGTTGAAGGAGCTGGGGATGTTTAGCCTGGAAAAGAGGAGACTGAGAGGAGATACGAGAGCCATCTTTAGATATCACCTGGAAGATGGTAGAGCAAATTTGTTTTCTCCTGCTCTGGAGGGTAGGGCTCGAAGCAATGGATTCAAGTTACAAGAAAGAATCCTGACTAAATATCAGGAAGAACTTTCTGACAAATTGTCAGAGCATTGTTGTTGTTTAGTCGCGTCCGACTCTTCGTGACCCCCATAGGCCCCTCAAAAATTTTATTGGGGGGGCTCTGCCCCCCCAATAATTTAAGAAAGTTATTAGTTATATTCAGCGGCGCCCGGCAGAGCAGCCCTCTCGGCCACGGCAGCCCGGCTCTCCCAGCCCCCGGGGCCGCCCTCCTCCCTCGCGCACCCACAGCGTTCCCGCCCGGGGAGGCGGCGCCCCCAGGAGAGGCGGCGGCGGCAGCAGCAGCCGCGCGCGGCCCGGGCTCCCCTCGCCGGCCGCGGGAGCCAAGGCGCGCAACGAGGGCAGCCGAGGAAAGGAGCGCGCGGCCCCGTCCCGCCCTCGCCACTCACCCTTCTGCAGCGGCCCCGCCCAGCGGGGAACTTAGAAAACTTCCCGGGGCAGGACCCCGGTATAGGCCCCCCCAATATTTTTTATAAGTCGGCGCCCCTGAGGAAGAGTTCACCCAAACCAAAATCCACAGTAGCTTGATGATGTGACTCAGACATTGGGTTAAATAATGGAATTCAAAGTGTTAAATGAGGATGCTAATTGAGAGTATTGGGAATGCCTTACAAGATTCTGTTTATAATGCTACCCATTATCAGTTCACCATTCAGTATTTCTTCTTGTCCCTAATCTTAAACCAAGCTAATCGTTGCTGAGCTACTGACAACTAGACAAGGGACCAATTTTGCTTATGCGGTTCAGGATTTGCTTTCCAGCCAAATGGTTCTGAAACCGGGTTTCAATTCCACGAGCTTATTTCTCTATTTATATCCCACCCAGGGGCGCCCACTTGAATAGAACATTGGGCGGCGGGGGGGGGGGGGGGCAAGAGACCTGGGACCAAGAGTTGGCTCCTAGGACCCCACCTTTTCCCCTGGGAGGCGGTCCACCTCCTTATTCCATCTCAGCCCCCGACACTCCCGCGAGGGAGACCAGCCTGAGAGGCGGCGACTTACGCCAAGGCACCCTAGTGAGCTTCGGGGCTGGTTGTAGGGTGTGTCTCTCTCTCTCTCTCTGTGTGTGTGTGTGTGTGTGTGTGTGTGTGTGTGAGAAGGGATTTGCACCCTGCCTGGCCTCAGGCCAAAACGCAGATACGCCGCCAAATATATACATGCCTGAGGGAAGATAGCCGCGCCCTGTGGTGGCGCCTGGGGAGCGGCTACCAGATAACTCTGAAGGGCTTCCCTCTCGCCATTGTCTTCCCTTATTACGTTCCCTCAGCATCAGCGCTATAACCAACGTCTGGCTGGGGCAACGGGGGGGGAGGGGTGTCCTTCCCGCTCCTCTTTCTCGTCCCAACGGCCGCCCATCCCCCACTAACTCTCGCTTCGCCTCATAGAATCCAGGTTGGCGCCGCGCGCCGTTTCCCGCCCAAACCGCCCCCGCCTGTCCTGCCTTCGCGGCTTTTGGCCACGGCTTCCCCTGCGGCGCCACCTTGGCCGCCCTCCTCCTCCTTCTCCCTGGTCTCCCCGCTTCTCCCCCTCCCCTCGGTCTCCTCTTCGCTCCCTCTTCACACAATGAACCCCCCCCCACCCCGCAGGGGGGACCCACCCGTGAGGCCAGATAAGCGCATTAGCATGTCTGGCCTCTGAGGAAGGCTGCCCCCTCTCGCCTCCCATTCTGCTCCTGTCATTCCTTCATCCTTCTGCTCCCCAGGGCTTTCTCGCCTGCGGCTCCAATCTGGTGGAACGCTCTGTCACAAAAGACCAGGGCCCTAAGGGACCTGACATCTTTCCGCAGGGCCTGCAAGACAGAGCTGTTCCACCAGGCCTTTGGCCAGGGCACAGCCTGACTCCCTCCCTCGGCAATCTTCGCGGAGCTCTGGCTCAATGGTTGCCAGTGGCTTGATTTGAATTAATTTTATAATGAATGATTTTAGAGTGTTGTTTGTGCTGTACTTTTGTACTTTTGTACTGTTTTATTGTTGTTAGCCGCCCTGAGCCCGGCTTCGGCTGGGGAGGGCGGGATATAAATAAAATTTATTATTATTATTATTATTATTATTATTATTATTATTTATTATTATCCAAAGAGCTGCAGCCTGGAAGCAACAGGTCTCTAGAAACAAGCAGTTTTGTGTCTGTGTAGCCCAGAAGCCCAAATTCTGAACATAATTATTGGCATGATATTTGAGAGAAGAGGGTGGGGGATAAGTAGTTCCCCACATGGCTTGTCTTCCCTCAGGAGCGCTGACTCCTAGGGGCTGGACCCCTTTGAGCCCCCCACAATATTTGTTAGTGAGGTGTTGGGCCCCCTCAATGTTTGGACGCTCCTCGCAGCTCCCAGTCCATAGCATTCCTCAAGTGAGGCAGGTGAAAGACAAGGTAGAGGAGCAAATGGATGGGAACAGTTGCAAATGCCCTGTCTTATACTGTATTGAGAAATGATAACATCTCCTGCCTAGCGGGCAAAGTGAGAGGGAACATTCCTACAGGTGAGTCCCTTCAGCTCATTCATCATCATGTAGAAGGCTTTGGGGAGAAACTGGCAGCCCAGGAATGTGTTCCATGTTCTCCCTCCAGAAAGGATACACGTTCCCCCCAGTTCTCATCGCATCCCTTCCTTCCCTGGGCTGAATAGTACACTGGAAGCTCAGCAGGACTTAGATCTGGCTGTTTCATTAGTAAAGAGGCATGCACATTGACAGCAGAATGCAGATAATGAATTCATATTTTTTTAAAGGAAGGATGGATGCATACCAGCAAGGAAAGAACAGCCTAGCGAAACCTGGATTTAAACAGCTCATTCTCTCATTCAGGAATGCTTCAGCTGCTCTTCCTCATGTATCATTCCCCTCTTACTCCGACTAGAGAACTAGTCTTTTGCAGGACTGCGTCTTCAATTGCACTTATGTATAAAGGTAAAGGGACCCCTGACCATTAGGTCCAGTCGTTGGCCGACTCTGGGGTTGGCAGGAGCAGGGACTGAACAACAGGAACTCACCCTGTTGTGGGGATTTGAACCACTGACCATCTGATTGGCAAGTCCTAGGCTCTGTGGTTAAACCCACATCGCCACCCATGTCCCGCACTTATGTATAAGTATACTTAAAAACAACAACAAACAGTCAAGGAGGAAATGTTTCTCATTTGTGGGTGTTGCATTGCATCAACAGCTGAAGACATTTTAATCTTTTCGCTCTGATTAATGTAAAAAAAAAAAAATTCTCTAAGAATCAGGCCACTGCATGTAGCAACTTGCATGCTCGTGCTAAATTGTCATCCCTCTCAAAATTACACCTTCATATTCTGATGCAATGATAATCCTATTATCTGATTTCTTCATCCTTTCATTTCCTCTTAGTTAAATGCAGATCTTCTGGGAACAAATTCAGACAGCTCCAGCAGATTGCTCCTCTCTGCAACATGCTGCTCAGGTAACGAAAATGCCCACACAGATGCAACTTTGCAACAGGCAGCTCTTGCAAAACTTCAAGACCCACTATTGGTCTCTTCTGCTCAAACAGCTGGAGACTATCTCCACATGCAAGGGAAGTCCCTAACTCACCAAGGGCTTGAGACCCATCAGCTACCCTCCCCTGGTTTAGCCAGCTAGTCAAAGCCATTCCCAGGGTGTTGTTGCTGTCGCATGCTGACGGCTTCTAGAAGCCACAGGTGAGAGCTGAGTGCAGGGTGGGGACCAAAGGTGGGCAATCTATCCCAGAAGGAGCATGATGTGTCCTCCACCAGAGGTCCAACACTCCACACACGAGTAAATAACCACTTAATGTTTATTCCAAAATTTCATTGTAGGTCATTAATTCCTGTAGGCAGGTGAAATAGATTTAGTAATCATTAATATTAAGTAAGTAATTAACCAAGTCACATTAGGCTAAAGCACAGAGCCTTTTTTTTTTTTTTTACAAAAGGCTGCATGTTTCCCTCTGCTACCAGTACAGCATAGAATGAAGTTGAGGTTGGTTGGGCTCAGCAACAGCAAGCCTTCTCATTGAAAGTCAAGTAGCAACTAATTACTATGCATGTCCTCCCAGGGAATATGTAATTTACATTCATGTATATACGTTCTGAAAATATACGTATGGGGAAACAGTTGTGAGTAATTTATTTAAATTGAAACTTCCCCTGTGCTTCAAATTGCAGTAATAGCAATATACTTAAAATGTGCAAAGCATCGCGTAACATTATGAGAAACAAATCCAGATGGCCCAAGCATGCAAGCCCCATCCACCTACACTTCTGGACTGCAGACACACCATACATTTAATGGTCCTTTAAAACAATCCTGGGACCCATAAGGGGGCCAGGAATTGTAGCTCCGTGAGGGGATAAATGGCTGTTTCTAGCATTCTTTGGCCGAGACAATGTGCTTACCCCTGCTTTTCAGAGGGAGGCAGCTGCCAGATCAGCAGAGCTTGGCACTTGTGATATTCTGGCACAAGTCCCTCCCACTCCTCTCCATCACTGCAACCCTTTTTCTGGCTTCTCTGGAAAATGTGACATGCAGGAAGCCAGCACTTTTGACTCCTTTCATGTGCTAGAAATGCTGAGGACAAAATGTGACGGACGCGATGGCACTTTTCCCTCTCATGCCGTTGGGCCCGCTCTCACTTAGATAAATTGTCCCCACCTCACTGAACAACCCTTTACCTGAAGGTTTCTTTCCCTTTTCCCTTAAAAATTCTAGCCCCAGAGTATCCTGTGGAGGACCTTTGTGAAGGGGTAACTAGTAAGTTGGAGTCTCATATAGGTTTTCTTTAAATAAACAATAAAGATTTATTTAAGGCAAGATAGTATATAACACAAATGGATTCAACTTAGGTTAGTTCAGAAATACAGTGCAATTTCACTTTAAATTTGTCCTCAGTTGTTTTTGCATTATTGGTTTGGTTCAGTTTGGTTCTTTCTTCTGGTGATACTTTATTTCAGTTATCCTCCCCCTTTAACAATCCTGCTCCTGGGGTACTTTAAGTAATACAGTGGCACCTCTGGTTACAAACTTAACTCATCCCGGAGGTTAATAATAATAATAATAATAATAATAATAATAATAATAATAATAATAATAATTTATTTATACCCCGCCCATCTGGCTGGGCTTCCCCAGCCACTCTGGGTGGCTTCCAAAAGAATATTAAAATACTGTAATACATCAAACATTAAAAGCTTCCCTAAACAAGGCTGCCTTCAGATGTAGACCACAGGGCTCTCCACACCCCCTCCCTTCACTGGGTCTGGGAGTTTCTTCTTCTCCTTAGAAAAATCTCTCCCCTCCGGACTAGATTTGAGTCCCAAGTAGGCTGTTCCTTTCCAGCTCCTACTTCTCCTGGCTCAACCTCTGCCTCCCAGTAAAATCTCCCAGTCTATTCCTCCTACAGGACACAATACGCTTCACAATAGGCTCAGAGTGGAAGTTGTTTTTTCCAGAACCAACTCTTTCTCCCATTCACTCTTTATACAGTGGTACACTCTTTATACCTCAGCCTGTCTCCTAACCTGTCTCCCTACCTATCTCCCACCCTCTCCAACCACAATACCAACCCACTTCAACCAACCCTCTCATCAAACTAACTGTCTCTCCAAAACCTCTCCTTTTAAACTCTCCCTCCTGGAACCCTGGCCAATCAGAGGCTGCCATTCATTAATAATTTGCAGGCAGGAAAATAAAAAGAGGGGGGGAAACACACTTGTTGATCCAACCTGTCCAGCAAAAGCAACCTTTTTGACACACAAAACCTGGCCCATTTTTTGTTTTATAAAAGAAGAGAAGGAAGGCAAACCAGATGCAAGTGTTGAATGGTTTCAAGAAGGCTCATTATTGTTTCACAAGATGTGTATGTCTTTAAGGGCCAGAGCAAATAACATGACCTAGTTTTAGAGCTGTGAAGCAGTTTAGCAGGTGCTGTTAATGTTTATTAAGCTGTTATGTTAAGCTGTTATGTTAATTAAACACGTAGCTCTCTCAATACCCTGATGGATGGGTCATGCATATTGATATATTGTAATTTAGTGTAAAAGGAGTTTTTGTTTTTGTTATTAAAACCTAGCAAAAGTCACTTTTGCGTTTCTTGAAATGTGTGGTCTCCCCAGCACGCCTTCTGCAGCGCAACTAATCTGCAAAATAGCCAACAGCAAGAGGGGTCAAGCACTGGGCACTGGAAAAGGCAAGAAGAGCAGACAATCAGGACATTAGGGATGGGGACTCAGTGAGTGTGCAAACTCCAGAAAGGCGAATGAGTGGCTGGTGATTTTGTGTGAATGAGGTGCGCATGGCACTACTGCACCACCACGGGCAGGTCAGCTGGTAGCGCATGGGACTCTTAATCTGAGGGTCGTGGGTCCAAGCTCCACGCTCCCTGCTCTGCGGGGGGGGGGGCTAGATGATCCTCAGGGTCCCTTCCAACTGTACGATTCTACGATCCCCCCTCTTGTATCGCTTGCCACTGTGCTGAATTGTGGCACAATGGGTCAGTGCCCTGTTAACCAGAAGTCGAGCCCACGCAGGGACGGTTTTCGGCGGGATTCCTGCACTGCAGGCGGGGTTGGACTAGATGACCCTTGGGGACCTCTTCCGACTCTCCAATTGTGCGAATTGCCGCCAGCAGTTTGCCACAAGGACTCGCACTCGCGGTTGCCCGAGAGGAAGAAAGCAGCAGGCAGCAGCGCGGAGCCCGCGGCAGTGAGCCTCTCGTATCCCTCCTAATCCAACCCTCCTCCTCCCCAAATGCAAATACGGCGCCGTCGCCCCGCCTCTCCGGAGCGCTTGCTTGGGGCTGCTCGCAAGAGGCGGCGAGAACAGACCCGATCGCCGAAGAGATGAGGAGGGTGGCAGGCTCGATGGACTCCCAGGGCGAGCACCGCGCCGATTACTTCCGACGCTCCAACCTGTTCGTAATGGTGGCGATCTTGGTCGGCCTGAGCTACCACGGGGTGAGCGCAGCCTCCCTGGAGGCTCCCGGGGCACCTGGTGCGGGGAAGCGCGGGGCGCCACGGCTCCAAAGGGCACCCGGAGGGGGGGGACGTGCGGGGATCATAGTCATAGCTGCCAACTTTTCCCTTTTCTTGCGAGGAATCCTATTCGGAATAAGGGAATTTCCCTTTTAAAAAGGGAAACGTTGACAGCTCCACTGCAACTGGGCACAGGGTAGAAGCCTCCAGCAGGTGTTTTAACTCTTCCACTGAAATGAATGGGTTGGAAAAAAACAAAACAAACCCCGGAATCTTGAGTTATTTTCTGCTGCTCTGAAATAGAGGCCATTTTTCTTGTTTCTGTCTCTCCGCCCCCCCCCCACTCAAAGGTTTTTGGGAGCTGAATCCCTGATTGGAGTCCACTATAAATATGTTTTCCGCCGTAGTGCACTTTTAGTGCATTTCATGAAGACAGCTTGCTTTAATGCATAGCACACACTGTACTGGTGAGGTTTATTCTGGAAGTACATTATATGATAATTGTGATTTATTTTTTTAGGGGGATCTAGACCGATATCTCATCAGCTGTGGGCTTTCTTGCCCAAGTCCAGTGTTTCAGGGTCCTCCACACCCTGCATTGTAAAATGTAGAGGTCAGCTACCTTTTTCAGCCGTGGGCCGGTCCACCGTCCCTCAGACCATGAGGGGGGCTGGACTATTTTTTTGGGGGGGGGGGAATGAACGAATTCCTATTCCCCACAAATAACCCAGAGATGTATTTTAAATAAAAGGACACATTCTACTCATGTAAAAATACACTGATTCCCAGACCATCCGTGGGCCAGATTGAGAAGGCGATTGGGCTGCATCTGGCCCACGGGCTTAGGTTGCCTACCCCTGGTCAAATGGCTGCTAATTTCTGGATTGTGCCACATTGTATTGATGTCCCCGAATTTCATATATTATGTATGGATACTGGGGGATAAACACAAAAGTTGTGAATTCTGATGTTGCAGGATGATGGGTTATGTTGACACGCATATACAGTGGTACCTCGGGTTACATATGCTTCAGGTTAAATACGTCTCAGGTTACATACTCCGCTACCCCAGAAATATTACCTCGGGTTAAGAACTTTGCTTCAGGATGAGAACAGAAATTGTGCTCCGTTGGTGCAGCAGCAGCGGGAGGCCCCATGAGCTATAGTGGTGCTTCAGGTTAAGAACGCACCTCCAGAACAAATTAAGTACGTAACCAGAGGTATCACTGTATGCCGCTTAGGAATTTGGAATATTAAGTGGTATAGCTGAAGTAAATAAAACAATACCTCCTGTATGCTTACTTAAATGTGTATCTCTTTCTCCCCTCCCCCTCCTCACACCTCAGTGGGCAGTCTTTTCACCCTCAACAATCCCCTATGACCTTCTGGGACCATTAGGCACCGTCACTAAATATTTGGTGGAAAACCATAAAACTCTTCTCGATATCGGGTAAGCTGAATTCTCATCTTCTACCTGTTCACATTCCTTCTGCTCACCCAACAGTGGGGATTTTGGGGGTGGGTGGGAGGGTGAGTAATATAATATGCAGCCATATGTATGTGCTTCTCCTTGCATATTGGGAGGGACAAGTGAAATGTAAGAGCAAGCTACAGTCAAGCAATGTATTTGAGATTATAGAGTCATAGAATTGTAGAGTTTCTAACAATGGACCCAGGGCCTCATTCTTTTCTCTTCCTTCCTTTTTAACTGTAAAAACCAGTCCGACACACGTGTGTTCCTCTTCCTCTGGTAGTTTTCCAACCCATAATTATCTCCCCTGAGCACTTTTGTCACCTGGGTTAAAGCATAGCTGTCAATTTACCGATTTGAAAATAAGGGACCAGCACCCTCGAAAAAAGGGATCAGCAGCCAAAATAAGGGATTTTGGCTTAGCTTATACAGAAATCCCGCACTCATGGAGCCATGCTGCTTTGGCTGTGACTGACTGTGTTTTGCAGGGGGTTGGACTAGATGATCCTAAGGGTCTACAACTCCCACCAAAGAAGAGTGGCAGACAAAACTGATGAACAACGTCAAGATGGCAAAGCTTACAGGCAGAATTAGAAACCAGGAAGAGGACCTCTTTAATAAAGAATGGGGAAAGTTTATAATTTATTTGAAAAGCTATTGTAAAGAGTTACATACATTGGTAAGATTGACAGAAAACTTGTAGTAAAAATTTGAACTATGGATGGACAAATGATTTATAAGCAACACGTTGGGGCTGCCGTCATTCTGGGGCGAAGAGTTCCATCGGCCCTTCCCTGCCTGAGAGAGAGGGAGGGAGGGAGGGAGGGAGAGAGACTCTCGCCCATGCCGCCCGTGAGCCCGGCATGAGGCGGTTGTGGCGCCGTGGCAGCGGCTGAAGTGCCGCCCTTCTGTGTCCCTCCCCATCCCCTCTTCCTCCTCCCTCTTCCTCCTCCCTCAGGCCTCTTCCTCCTCCCTCAGGCCGCCTCCTCAGCCGCCGCCGCCTCCGGCTTCCCCTGGCAACGCGGCAGAAGTCTCGCAAGAGGGGCTGCCTGCCCGCCACCTGCCACCCGTCTCCTCACAATGTGCCCCCGAGGGGGGAAAGGGAGAGACGAAGACACGGTAGCTCATGCGCTCTCTCTCTCGAGGCGGAGGACCCTGAGCCGCTGCTTCCCTCCTGAGCCGGGCGAGCATGAAACCCGGGAAATTTAAGGGACATCATCAATAAGGGACAGCAGCAGGACACAGCGCTGGGATAAGGGAGTTTCCCGCCAAATAAGGGACGGTTGGCAGCTATGGGTTAAAGAGCAGCTCCATACATGCCTTACTCCACTTGGACTGTGTAGTGTTTCTGGTCCGGTTTAGGCTATGCATAACTTGTTATTAGAAATATGCACATTAATGTAAAGGGCAGGGCAGAATGATTGCCTGCTTTTTGAAAACCCCATTCCTGCACCTGAACTTTATTCAGCATGCAAGTAGTAGAGAGGGGGAGTCATACAATAAGACAAGCTGATCTTTGGTACCCTTTAGAGGCAGTGGCATGAGGGGCAGATAGAATCTATGGCAGAGCCTGTTGTGTGTTTCTCTTGCACAAGCCATGCTTACCGAAATGAACAGGCATTGCACAAAGCATATTTGTGTTGCTTCGGTGAACTCCTGTCCATTTCACAAGGGCTTGCATGAGAAATAACAGGGTTGTGTCCCCTGTTAATTAGCTGGTGATTGGGAATGTGTTTGGCTTTCCCCCTGGGAATACCTAAATGTTTTGGGCTAACCCTTATCTCGCTTTAATTTACGCCAGTTACAAATGGTGTTATTTTCCTTCCTTTCAGATATTTAATTACCTGGTTAATCCACATTGGGGAAGCATTATGTGCCCTCAAGCTATGCAAGTAAGCTATTTTTATTTTATTTCCGGTCTCTCTTATACCTCCACCTACCTCTGCCCTCTCCTAAACAGCAGATAGCATGGCAAAGCTGTGTCTGGGCTTGTAAGCTGGTTTTCTGGGTACGGATATGGGGTGTTGTAGGAAATGCATGAGCACTCCCTCTCGCTGCCTAAAGTGGTATGGAAGTGACACACAGGTTTTAATAATCTTCACAACTTATCTGCAAGAATTGGGTCTAAAGTAAATTCTGTCAAGGACCGACTTCGGAGCTGTTGTTGAATTTGGTTTTAAAAAGCAACCAGTGCTTTCCAACATTGAACCAATGAGGTGTGCTGTGCAGTGGAACCCAACCCAGCTGTGGCAGGTGAACGTACCCTCATCCTTTTGTCAGGTTTCTTAAATAATAATAATAAAGGCACTGGCACTAGTTTACAAAGCGTTATACATCTGAGGACCAGGATACCTAAAAGGCTGTCTTGCACCTTATATATACAACTTATGGTTGCATTCTGCAGGAGAGGGCCTCTTGCAGATACCATCTCATCAGGAGATCTGCTCCGTATAATGCGGGAACTGGACCTTGAATTTTGGTGGCACCTACCCCTGAGAACTCTGTCTATTGTCTTTTAGGCACCTCTTAAAGACCTTCCTCTTCTAAGAAGCCTTGTAATCAGAATTTTATCCTGGCCTTTATCTGCATTGTGTTTATATATGCCTTTATTGTTGATGATTTTGTATTGTTAATTGCTTTGGGACGTATAAATGAAGTAAGCAAAATAAAAGAACATAAAAGAAGCACAAGAAGGAGCCAGTGACTGTGTAAGTAGGCTGGTCTGTGTGAGTGCCAGTAGAGGAGTAACAGTATGATGGTTCTTAATCCCAGATATATGCACTTGGATTCAAAACCCTGTTTGGAGGTTATCTGGAACTAGTGACTGCATTGCTGATATCTTTCCTTCATTGGTGTATCACATGCCACTCTGGAAAGTTCCCTGAAGGATTCTGGTGAGGGAGCAGGGGTGTGGATGACAGCCCAACTTCAGTTTCCGCCCATCCTCCAAGCAGCTGAGGGCAAAATAGACATCTATCTACTTAACTTGGATTTTAAGTAATACATGCAGAAATGTCAGGCTTTATCTGTCTGTCTCTTCACTGCAGGATGAAAGGCATCACAGACCCTTCAACTCAGCGTTTGTGGTTGGTTCAAACATTTTTCTTTGGAATGGGATCTCTCTACTTTTTGTTGACCTACAACCCACAGAAGAAAAGTTGGTGAAGGATTCAGCCAGAAGAGAAGGTTCCAACACATTCTAGCTTTGGGGTATATTTTTCAGGGAGAGGGATGGGTGTATTCCTAAATGTTTTTTGTGCGTTCAAAAGTGTGGCAATCTTCTCTTTCACTTGGAAAGAGAAATTTCTTTCAGACGTCTCCTCTGCAGGTTTTGCAGCTGTGGGCAAAGCAAGGAAACTAGCTTGTGACAATGGGGGATGGAGCCTTTCTTTTTAGATCAAGGAAATAAAGCCAGTTCTTAATGGTCAGGACCAAAATGCCAACACTCACAAGATATCAGCATAGGACCAATTTAAAATAGGGGTGACAAACAGAGCAAGCACAGAGCAACCTATAGCCTCTACTGCTCAGGTCTAACAGTAGCCTTATTCATAAACTGAGCTGTATAGAAGTGTGGTGAGGCATCTTCCTTTGGGCCCAACTTGCACGTGTCTGTTGCTCCCCTGGTTTTGCCTGCATCCATGGCTGGATTGTCCTCTATAAGTGATTGTATGGATAGTCTCCTTCATTTATGAGCCTCTTTCTCCCCTCCCCCGCCACCCTTTTTACAGGTAAGGATTGCAGATTAAGCAGGTCTGTGAGCACTGATCTCTACATGCAGCCACACTGTGTCCAGGGTGTAGCTGTGACTGGGAGGCAAGGTGGCATTTTCATTCGCACCATAGACCAAGAGGGCTAATGCTACTCCATCAGTACTTTTAGCTGTGCTTAATAATAATAATAATAATAATAATAATAATAATAATAATAATAATTACTATTACAAAATAATGTGCAACAGTGCAGATTATCCTTGTTGGGCATCCCGTTTTAGCAGGTGGCTTGGTTAACTTTTCTTCCCCTTTCTTGAGAAATAAACCTCTTCTATTTCTCACCCACCTTCCCACCCAGAGTTTAAAGGGGTTTATCTGCAAGTAGATGTGGTCAGCATTGCATCCCGAACATCTTGCAATCTTTCTCCACAAACGCTGCCACCACCCCTCTGATTTATAATGGTCTACCAGCAGGTTTTGCTCTTATGTTTTCTTGGTGCTCTCTTAACAACCTGCATGCATTGCAAAGCACTTTAGTTAATAACCGTGGCACTAAACTCTTGGGCATGGCGCAAGCTTTTCTTGAAGTGCAAAAGGCTGAGAGAGAGAAAGCTGTGACCACATAAGAACTGCAGTCAAGACCAAGAAACCCCACTGGGGCAGATTTATTTCTCAGAGATCCAACGTGCTGTTAAAAGGTAGTTTTATATTACATGCCTTAAATTATTTAGGGGAGATCCCCCCCCCAGAAATACGGTACATCAAAGCAGGTCTACTAGTTTCAATCTGAGAGAAACCTTTGCTAGAGCTTTCATTAGGCGTTCCTCATCCAAGCTGTGTCGTGATAGACAGAGCTGTCTGTGGGGAAGGTTTAGAAACAGCACGTTAGTTGGATTTGGAGGAAGTAATTAACAGTGCCTGTCAGATGAGTGGGTGTCTAATTCATAGATGTGTTGGCCAATGTGTTTAGTATCTATTTATTATGTACATGTTTAGTATCTACGTGTTATGCAGTGCCACCACCCAGATCTGAGAAAGGAAAATTACTGGTGCAGTTTTTCCCTGGCATGGCATTGCTTGGCAGGGTGAAGTGGTTTACAAGATTTTACCCTCTCTAGAGAGACTTTTCACTAGTATAAACTCAGGGGCAGAATGAAGGTGAGAAACAAAGGGCACCAGCACAGAGCTTGAATAAACCCCTCCACCCCACCAACTTTTTAGCATTTTGTATTAGTGCAGTGCATTTTTACTGTAGTGCATGCCATTGTTATGTTGGTGCAGGAGAGAGGTCCGCTGATTCTGTGCCTGAGCAAATATATAAAGGTTGGGACTCTCTGCCACATTAGACCATAGTTCTTGCCTTTGGTTTGGACTTTTCATTCTCTTGATGATTTCTGCTGAAATGCCTATAATGTCTTTCAAACTCTGTGTCTCATTTGGATTTATTTTTAGGCAGCTCTTAAGAACACTGCTGCTCATAGTTTTAGCATTTTGCCTTTGTGCTTGAATACCCTGCATATTCCGTCATGCTTGTTGTATTGAGAATCACCTCTTTAACACATTACGTTTACCTGGCTATTGTCTGGATGATTAAAGGTAGCTTCTGCGGTTCTTTATACTGTTAATACTCGAAGGGAAACATGGTGAGCTGTTTGACTGTTGCATCTTGTGATAAAAATGTGTCCTAAGATAGGGTGCTTAATTGGTATAATGCTGCATTTTGAGCTGATAATTTCCGAGAGCTGTCTCACTGCTGGCCTTGAATAAATCTAATAATTCTCTCTAAAATATAATGCATGCCCTGAAATTGTTACAAAGGATGGGGTGGTGGTTTCACATCCTTAAAGCAGGGGTTCCAAAACACAAAGTATAGGGCCCCCTAAGGATTCCTAATGCAGCCTGGGTTTCCCCACCACCTTCTAGGAAATTTTGAACAATAACCAGGCCTTAATAGGATGAAGGGGTTGACTCAACAATACAGTGGTACCTCGGTTTAAGTACTTAATTCGTTTCGGAGGTCCGTACATAACCTGAAACTGTTCTTAACCTGAAGCACCACTTTAGCTAATGGGGCCTCCTGCTGCCACCGCACTGCCGCTGCACAATTTCTGTTCTCATCCTGAAGCAAAGTTCTTAACCTGAAGCAATATTTCTGGGTTAGTGGAGTCTGTAACCTGAAGCGTATGTAACCCGAAGCGTATGTAACCCGAGGTACCACTGTACCTGCTTTTGTGTGTTATCGTATTGGGTTCTTTCCTCAATTCCCTCTGTTTGCAGCAGGAATGCTAAGGAGTTGGTGAGGAAATGCACTTGGGCATCCCAGGAACACGGCCAGATAATGTGTAGGTGTGCATGTGTATACATACACAAACATGTTGTTCTTGCATTCACACTACAGATGTGTTAAGAGCAAATGGCTTGCCAAAACAGGCACAACCATTTTGGATTACTTTCATTGTAGTGTCTGACTTGTGTGAGTGCATGTGTGACAGTGTAGGGTGGTCGCATCCACTTTTGTCCATACCCACCACTGGCATGTTGCCCCCAGAGGGTTGGCAAAGGGTGATGTGACAAAACTGTGCATTGTCCTTGCTGGAGAATATGCAGGAATCTGTCTTTGTTTGCAACTGGCCTGAGAACATATTGTCCACATCGGAATGCCCAGACAGTTTATATATGGAGTTTCACAGTAGCCCTGTAAAGGACAATCTCTCCTCAAGCCAACATTAAGCGTAAAAAAGAAAAGAAAAGGTTAACAACACAACACACCAGGCATTAAAAATAGCAGTAAAGATGTTTGGAAACCAGACTAACGAAATATTTGAAAGTCCTCTGAAAAAATGTGGCTTGATATGCCTGTGAAAAAGTGGGAGGGAAGAGATCAAGATAAACTTCTGGGAACAGAATGTCATAGTCTCTCAGCACCAGCACAGGAAAGTCATCCTGTCGGATGAGGACGGTAACTAGGGGAATGTGCGTCCTTTCTGGAGGGAGAACATGGAACTCCTCAGCAGCTCCTGGCATGCCAGTTTCTTCCCCCAGGGCCTTCCACGTGATAAAGAGCTGAAGGGACTCGCCTGTGGAGGTGTCCCCTCTCATTTTGCCCACTAGGAAAGAGATCTTGTCATTTCTCAATACTGTAGAAGACAAGGCATTGGCAGCTGTTCCCATCCACGTGCACCTCTATCTTTCACCGTGCCCCACCCCTGGGAACTGCTTGTCACACCAGTTGAGGAGGCAGGTGCCAGGAGAACTTCCTGCTGTACCTGTTCTAATTGGCACAAAATTTCCATGTAGACATGGATACACATTAAGCCGAAAATTGAGGAGGCCAAGTGCACGTAGGGCCTTTTCAGTCTCCTCCCTCCAAGGGCAGATAGATTCAAATGCCATTCAGGAATGCCAGAGGATACCGTATTGTCTCGAATATAAGCCGCACCTTGAAAATTTGGGGGGGGGGGCAGAGAAAAAAAGAAATACCCGAATATAAACCGCTGCATACTGGGGGTGCTCTCTCCCTTTCCAGCCTTGGGGGAGAGGATGGGGGACTACGCATGAGGCGGGTGCTGCTTTGCCGTGTTCCTGGAGCTGTTTGCCCCATGCTCCTAGCTACATACCATAAGGTTGTGAATATGAGCTGCACTTTAACTTTTCACGGTCAGAATTTGGGGGGAAAGTGAGGCTTATATTCAGACCAATACGGTAATTCTAGACTTGCATTCCATGAGGTGTGAGGAACTGTAGGCAAATATAGGCTCCCCACCCATACACAGTGATACCTCTGGTTACAAACTTAATTCGTTCTGGACGTCCATTCTCAACCCAAAACTGTTCTTAACCTGAGGCGTGCTTTCGCTAATGGGGCCTCCCGCTGCTGCTGTTGTGTGACTTCCACTCATATCCGGGGGCAAAGTTTGCTACCAGGAAACCTACTTCCAGGTTAGTGGAGCTCGTTACCCAAAGCGTTCGTAAGGAGGACAGTACATAACCTGAGGTTCCACTGCATTTATCAAAATCCTGGATTTCTTGGTTCTAGTCTGCTTGCATTAAGCCAGAGACAAGATTAAGGTTGTTGCAGTGTGGTAATAAAGAATAATCGATGGAGATTAGGGCAGGAAGATAATGTTACTGAAACACCCAGAAGATTTCCAATACAATTTAGTTGGTTAAATTGGTGTTGCAGCTTTCTTTCCAATAAAGACATTTTGTCATTGTTTCCAGCCTTCTTCCTGTATTTCCCCACCTTTATTTTGATCACCAAGTATTGCACATAGACACTGTGTGCAGGAAGATTTCACATGCTCGAATCCTGTAACATTACCATTCATTTTACAGCATTTAAAGGCATCTCATAACCATTTGAAAAACAATGGAATAATCCTTAACATTTGCATAGCTCTTTCTAGTGTTCAAATGAGCGTTATATTGTTGTAAACTTTAACAGCCCTGTAATGGAAATCAGTATTATTACCCCCCATGCTGCAGATGGGGGGGGCGCAGAAAGTGGATTGCCAAAGGTCACCCGGTGAATGCAGGAGAGAGGCAACAGTCAAAGCTGGGGCTTTCTGATTTTTAGCTTGCTCTCTTAGCTAGCATGCTACAGCAGGTGTCGTTATAATGAAATACAACTAGTAACTGGAAGCAACTGCAGCAACAGCAACAACACCTAACAGTGTGAGAAAAAGGTAAAAAAATAAAATAAGCAGAGAACTAAATCTGAACCGGTAGACTAGAAGCACGACGGCCTGAATCTACAACCCTGATCACTGTGATCATGTTCACAGAAAGGCCAGCAGGAGGAGCTCTAACTTAACAATGCCAACTAAGCAAAGTTCTAAACTTTTTTCAGTTGTTTGGATCATTGTTTGCCAACCTTATTATAGTGAGAACTTCCCTCTATCGAAAGCAAGAAAGATAGGCAGGTTCTTGTGTTCTTCATAAAACAACATTCCGTTTGGCTTCCCATATTCTCTCATCACATGCCCCATCGATTCCAAAATGATAAACATAGAATTGTAGAGTTTAGAAGTCCAACCCCCTGCAGTTGCAGGAATCATTTGCCCAACGTGGGGCTCAAACCCACAGCCTCGAGTTTCAGAGCCTCATGCTCTACTGACTGAGCTATCCCAGCAGGCTTGTGCTGCTGGCCATCACCCTTCAATGGCTATAATTCAAACACCTTTGCATGAGCAGGGAAATGTGCGTAGATACTGTGCACAATCAGGATTCCGACTGTAGCCTTTCAGGCCTTTCCCATGGGTAGGATGAGCATTGCTCCCGGGAAGGGAGGGAGGAGCCAAACACAGGATGGTTCAGAGAAAGAGTTTTTTATTTCTGCTTCCCAGGCAGCAGAAAGGCACTTGCGTGGTCAACCACAGCAAGCAGCACTTTAAGAGTAAAAACAGGCAGCCTATATTCTCTTTAGCCCCCCCCCCCGGGAATCCAGCCTCATGAGCTTGTACACGTAAGTTTGCAGAAACAATCTCCATTCATGATGACTAGAAATGGTTTCTGTACTCCTGGTGCCATTCCCGGGGTCTGTGCGTCAGTGCGCCAGGATAGTTGCAACCTGGTAAGATAAGTTGGATGCGCCACTGACAAGGCCATCTTTTACGCCTTCATGGACTGAGAAGAGGAGAAGGCTTTGTTCATTCAGCTACTTTGTGTTATACAGCAAAAGCTAATGCATATTTTAAGTTTGCATCCTCAAAGAAAGAAATACAGCTCTAGCTAATGCATTTTAGCTGCCGAATCCTCAAAGAAAGAATTTGGGAAGTCTTGGGGCCTGGTTGGGGTGACTACACAGTCAGGTTTGGGTATCCTGTCCCTTCACTACAAGAGTCTGCGTTCAACATGTGGCCAAAGGGCAGGGCCAGAAATGGGTGCCACGTCGGGGAGATCCAGTCTTGTGGTCCCACTTCCCATTAATCAAATTGAGCTCCTTAGTTAATATAATGCTTAAAGTTGGTGGCAGTGGCATGCAAACATAAGAGTCCCAATGGATCAGACCAAAGGCCTACGTAGTAATAGGTTAAAACGCAGCTATGTATTTGACACTGCAACTTTGTTTGCTGGTTTTCCTTTCCTCGTCCTCCTACAAATAAAAACAATTCAATGTTCTGGGTTGCTATGTTCTCATGGTTTTTATTTACAGAATTTATACACCACCCTTCGGAGCCTAGATCGGCAGTACACACTTTGTGTGTGTGTACAAGGATTGTGTGTGTGTGTGCAGAGATTGTGGTGTTCTTGTGTGCAGGGATTTGAACCCTGCCTGCCTCAGGCCAACACGCAGACACGCCGCCAAATATATACATGCCTGAGGGAAGATGCCGATGCCGCGCCCTGTGGTGGCGCCTGGGGAGAGGCTACGAGATAACTCTGAAGGGCTTCCCTCTCGCCATTGTCTTCCCTTATTACGTTCCCTCAGCATCAGCGCTATAACCAACGTCTGGCTGGGGCAACGAGGGGGGGAGGGGTGTCCTTCCCGCTCCTCTTTCTGGTCCCAACGGCCGCCCATCCCCCACTCTCTCTCGCCTCGCCGCATGGAATCCAGGTTGGCGTGTCCCGCCCAAACCGCCCCCGCGCATGCACCCCCGCCTCTCCTGCCTTGGCGCCCTTTGGCCATGGCTTCCCCTGCGGCGCCACCTTGGCCGCCCTCCTCCTCCTCCCTGGTCTCCCCACTTCTCCCCCCCCCGTCCCCTCGGTCTCCTCTTCTCTCCCTCTTCACACAATGACCCCCCACCCCACCCCACAGGGGGGACCAACCCGTGAGGCGAGATAAGCGC